TGGCTTATTAAATTCCGCTAATTAACAATTATTGTGCAGCTCTCAAGTTGCTTTAAATAAACAAAAGTCCATTAATTGAATGCCTAACAGCTTGTTGTACATTTTTAAATAGATTTTCATCAAAGCAGCAGCAGCAGCAGCAGCATAATTTATAAATTTACAAGCAAAAGTGTGAGCTCCATAATTGGCTGATGTTTCCTAACTGTATAATACTCTATTATCTAGTTATTCTTTAGAAAAGTCAACTTCTCAAAATGTGTGAGAGACAAGCAATTAAATTATGATAAATATGGATTTAAACCCTTTTTATGATTAAGGGAAAATTATGAACATTTCAAGCTGACGAATGAATGAAGAGTTATGAATCGACTCAGCTATGAATTGTGATTGGAAATATATAGAAAATTTAACATATAATATATATACGTTCTTCTGTCTGTTACATATACTTCAACAAAAACAAGATGCCCTCTCTTAAAAAATGCAGGGCATAAAAACTCATTGCCTAGACAACCATCATTCTTCAGTCTGCTTCGCTATCTTACTCAAAGTTTTATACAAATGAATTCAGGAAATATGTATTTAAATGGAAACAGATTTGCTGATAGAATTTAAATAATAATTTGTATAAAATAAAGTGTAAAAATAAAATGGAAATGGATAATGTGATAAAAGTTAATAATAAACTAAGTTATTTGTTTAAGTAATATTAATATTTAATAATTAAGACAATTTAAGATGTAAATAATTAAAATATGATTTAAATTTTCAATGTAAAGCAGAAATCTGAGACTCCACAAAGTAGATTTATAAAAGATCAACTGGGAATTTATATATCATAATAAGAATAGCTGTGGAACAACAATGTATATGCATAATAAGTACCTCGAAGTTAATCGTAAATAGAAAACTCTAAGCTAAAGAGTAGAAAAGGTAGTTTGTAAATGAATTTAAATCGAATAGTTGTTCAAGATATCAACTTAGAATGCTTATATATATATAATATATATATATACTGAAAATTATAAATATACATTAAGTAAAATATTTAAAACGAAAAACATTTGAATACTCAATTTTGTGTACTAAAATTTACCTAAAAATTCAATAAATTATTTTCAACTGCATTTCACTTTTCACTTATTTAAGAGTTGCAAAAAGCAAAAAAAAACACGATAATAATTAATTTTGTACTGAATTCCGAAAGCAGGTGCATAATTGAGTGTAAAGCAGGTGCTAATTAGCAAGTGGTAAGTAATATCTATTATAGAGTAAAAGTTCGCCTTGACTAGGGTTTGGGGGACGGGCGCAGCTTCTGTTCTGTTGTGTTATGCCCCAAGGGATTGCGCAGAGCTCGAACAGCTCTTGAAGTAAGAAACTTTTAGTTTGGCTTTTAAGAAGCGAAAACAAAAACAAATGTTTACAATATTTCACATGTACTTAGTTGTGCGCAACTTAAGAATGGGCAAAGTTAAATGTATTATTTGATTATGCGAGTTTATGTATAAAACAATAGCAGCAAATGGAAAACTTTTTGCATAGAAAAGCTATTTTGCAGCAAATATTTGCCTGAGCATATTTATTCGCCAACCACTTTTGCCGAATTATGACTGCCCTCAAAAAGCCACCTTGCAGCTGACTGTGCGTGTCTGTGTGTGCCTGTGTGTGTGTATGTGTATATGTTTTTATTTTCTCACAAACTATGGCTGTAAGTTGCCATGACAGCCATGCCACATTATACAACAAGTGCTCGAAATAATAAAGTTAACAGCACTTTAATAGTTAGCTCAGAACGCTCCAGACCCGGTGGCAAGTGGGAGTCGCCCACAAAAGATTGGACTTGGGATACGAATCGAAATTATAGAGTGGAGTATGAGTGCTATAAGAGAGACAGAGAAACAGGCAGCGGCAACAGCAACGGCAACGGCAAGGGCAACGGCAACGGCAACATGTTGCCCGGCAACGGACATAAATGAGAGGGGCTTATCCTATCGAGCAGCAAAACTTGAGCAATAAAATTGCTTTTATACTTGGCTATACGAGTCTCTCTCTCAAATATTCCTGGCATGCTCAATGGCAAAGCCAACCAGCAACAGCAACAGCAGCAACAGCGTCGAGAGTCAGATAAATTTCTCCACTTTGATTTTGCGCTTAATAAAAGTCAAATTTAAATTCGGCTGACTACGCACAGCCTCTTACTCCTGCCGCCAGCATGTGTGGAGCTTCTGCTGCTCCTGCTGCTGTAACAATGGTCGAAGCAGCAGGAGCAATTTTTATTGCTAGCCGATGACACGACTTCGTAGCTAGGAACACAGCTTAGGAATGTAATAAACTCGGTACGGACTTTTATGGCGTATACATAAAAGGAAATCAGAGAAGATGTAAGCAGCCAGCTACTCCAGCTATTCCAGCTGCCAAGTCAAAGAGTGGCCGCTGCACTCAAACAGGATTGAGGCGGGTAGTCCAAGTTAACGAGCCCTCTAGTGAGGCTAGTAGGGCGTATGCTTAATATCAGCACGAGTTGGCGCAAAAAGCAACCTCAAAGCGCTTATATAAATATTGTCGGGGGTCGAGCGGAGCTCGGGGCCGGACGCCCGCTCGCCAAGAGCACCAAGCGGAAAGTTGTGCATAATTCAATTAACTAGAAACATGCAAATGAAAACTTTGCAGGCGACAAGGCCGCGGGCAGCAAAAGTGCAACCAAAATCCAAAGAGAGTGGCGGGAGGAGAGAAGCAAAGGAGAGCAGAGAGGAGGGCAGAGTTCTCAGTTCTGCTGCTGCTGCTTTTAATGCTGCGTACAAATTGGACAACTCTCCAATGGAATTGCGTAAAAATATTTCTAATTATTTCAGAGCAGCGCAAAGCGCCTGGCAACGAGCTCCTTGCTCCTGCTTCCGCTGTTGCTCCCAGCTGGCTGCGCCCAGCCACTTCTGTGTCAGGTCTTCGTGCTGCTCTGCTCTACTCCTCGTCGGTCTCCTTCTCTGCGATACTGCTTAGTCAACTATGCGTGTATATCAGAAATATGAAATGCAATAACGTAATGAGTAATTGCGCAAAAAGTAATAAAAGGACACGGCGCACAGTTACGCAAAAAGCAGCATGCAATCTGTTACGGATAACAAGGATACACGGCGCCGCCAGCAGCAATTATGGATGCGGTGGATGCGGGCGAAACAAAAGTTGTCAACGACAGGCAAACAGGCAAACTGGCAACCGGCAACGGCAACAACTTAAACAAAGGCCAGCCTGGGGGTCAGCGCGGGCGTACGTGCAACGTGGTCACAAAAAAAAAAGAAGTAAAGTTGAAGCTCAGCTCACGAGTTACTGCCGCGTGACTCCAATTGAGCGTCGCTGCGCTCTGCCGCAGCTAGTTGGCTTGGACAAGCCAGGCCACTGGACCCTGGGCTGGGTGGCCCATTCAAGAGGACATTTGGTGATGTGTGTGCGCCGCGTGCCTTGCTACCAAAAACGATATTAATTTCCCAAAGGTGCCGTTCACAGCCAGCGAAAATCTCGCAGCTTCAGCAGCAGCAACAACAAGAACAACAAATAATAAAAATACGCTCACACAGAAATTAAAAACTTTCAATAGCAACAATTTTCATTTAAAAATTCAACGCCAGGCGCTGGGACCGCGACAATGCGGCCCCCAAAACGGAGGGCGAGCTTTGGGCGTGGCGCACTGTTGCTGTTGCTGATGGCCATTGAAGCGGCAAACAAAAGTGACAAACAGATTTATTAAAACTGTAAATCCGCATTGTTCGAGTAGTTTGTCTAACAGCAAACAACAAAATGCAATAAAAACACTTTGAAAACAATTTGTAAGCGACTGTTAGTTGCCCTGTAATAGTACGTAAGCTGAAAACCGTGTGCTTACCTTTTAATTTGAGTAAAATTCTTATTTTTAGCACTTCACTATTTTATGATATCACTTGTTGCTGTAGCGCAGCCAACTTCATGCTGATCGCAGCGTTGCCAAACAGAAATAATAGTCTTCCTAATATCAAATTGGATTTATGGCAACATGTACTATGCTGCTGTATATTTATTTTCTAATAAGAATTGAAACTAGTCTTTGGCTAAGCTAAGCACATTTCTTGCAACTGATCGCCGTATCACCAACTTGACGAACAATTTTCTAATTTATTTTCTTCACTTAAAAAATGAGAAGTTAACTTCCAAGCACTTGTTGCAGTTGCGTTGCCAACTTCAAGCTGATCGCAGCGTTGACAGGATTAAAAAAGTTAAGGTATTCCTAATTTCATTTAATGGCAGCTATAATTAATTTCATTTAATACTTGTCAAAATAAATACATTGTGCTTAAAAAATCAATAGCCTCTGTAGTGTCCACGCTGGACGAGGTATGTTCCAAAAGTTGTTAGCCGCTTTAGGGGGCGTGTTGCAATTAAAACTATTTTGACTAAAACAATATCGAAGCTGTTGCTATCGCTATCGTAGTTTTAGTTGTTGTTGGCAGTGCTGCTACATGTTGATGGCTGCCAACATTTCATTAGAGCGCCAACGGGGTTTTGTGCCCCGAGGTCAAACCACAGCATGCAACGCCAACTGGGGCAGACAGGCAAGAGAGACAAGGCAAAAGCTGATTACTTGCAGCATTGGCTGACAGGACATGGCAGGCGGAAGGCCAGGACTTGGACTTGGGCGCTGTTTCGCGCTTGATTCGCTGGCATGGTTGCCATTTGCCGTTTGCCGTTTGTTGTTTATTTTGCGAGCGTTGCGAAATTGCAAAGCATGTCCTTTTGCTAGTAGGAGGGACAGCGGCACAAACACACACACACACACACACAGAGAGATACGACTATGCAATAAGGACGAGGTTAGCTGCACAGCAACAGCTGCTGGCAGCAGGAGCTTTCAGCAAAAAGCTTGCACTTTAATATTTCGCTGTTGCTGCTGCTGCTGCTACTACTGCTGTTGTTGGTCATAAGAAATGCAAATTTATTGCTTAACTGAACGAAAATCAGTACTGGAAACTCTCTTAACATGGCTTCAATTTAGAATACAACTCCTGCATGCCATAGCCCGCGGGCGTTGGTTCCATTAACAAACTAGTCAGCCCGGATCTAGGCTCACTGGCAAAACGATCCCGGCACTGACTTGCTGGCGGCATTTTGCCCAACTTCAACTCAGACAATAGCTTCTCTGTCTCAAGCACATCCAGATCCTCATAGAGATCATCATTGACAGCTATTACGGGCTCATTAACACAGGCACCCATGCCTGAGGAAGCGTTCAAGGAGAACTGCATGTCATCCGAAGTCTCGTCGTCCTTTAGTTTCAACATGTTCTCACAGGTGAGCATTATCTCCTCACAGCCACGCAGTCGACAGGGCGTAGTCAGGCAAATCTTCAAGCTTAACTTGCCAGTGGGACGCAGATTGAACATGGTATAGAAATTGGCTACCTCCCACACGATAAACGGCTCCAGCTTGAGCATCTCGGCCACGGTCTGTATTGCAGTGATGGGCAGCCAGCCATGTTGCCGCTGAGCCAAGTCGAGCAGGGGCAGCAGAGCTGCACGCCTCTCCGCCTCCGGGTAGGAGCACATCAAAAATTCTGCCTGTTTTTTGTTCTCCTCATCGAACTCAAATTTAAGCTTCTCGTAGATATTGCAAGCATCCAGCTTGAAACGCGGCTCCGAGGCGCACAAAGCGCGGCTTGGCAACGCCTGCAGCACAAGGCGCGGCAGCTGATACAAGCGCAACAAATTGGCAAACATCTTGAGCTAGTTATGAATGTATATATTGTCTATATATATATATATCTCTCTCTCTCTCTGGCACTCTCTATCTCTCTCCCGCTATTTATATATAAGTATATTTATGTATGTGTGCTTGCTAGGTATTTATGGATTGTCAACTGGGGAGAAGAAGGCAAGCCAACTGCCTGACTGTAAGAGCACACAAGCTGCAGCGCCTGCCTAGCCTCTAGTTTTGTATTTCAATTTGATATTGAAATTGTCGGCGTCCCTATTATGTTCATCGCCTTAGCGCGCGCGCTCGCTCGCTTGTGTGAGGTTGCAATCAAATTAGCAATAGAATATGTGAGTGGCATGCACTGTCATGGCAACAATCGTCATTTGATGCGTCTGACGGCAATAACTAACTCAAACAATATGTCAATCAGTGCCCGATCGGGTGCCCCAACGTGCTGAAAATTGCTTAAATTGTTCAAATTGCATGCCCCGCCTAATTGGCAATATAGAGAGCGAGTCCCAAACAAGTGATGGAGCACACAGGAGCCGCAGCCTCCTTCGACAGGCAGCGGGAGCGCCCGTTGTCGAGCAGTCAATCACTTTGATGGGCCGCCATTGTTATCAACACCTGTCCGGGCTCTTACACCTGAACCATTTGCCACATTCCTGCATTTTTAGAGCTATTAAGAGGCGACTTTGCCTCTGCTACCACTTCGTTCATCTCCCCCTCTCCCCCTCTTTACAATGTCTCGTAAAATGTGTAATTCAGCAAAGTGTCTAATAAAAGTTTGCCATAAGCGATAATCAATAATGGCCGCTCAAAATGCCATTGATTACAGATCACATGCTCTCGAAACGCTATTAACCGAAAACAATTGAAAACATCCCACGCACAGCCCATTGAACAGAGTCTGCCAATTAACTTTACGCAAGTGTTTCTAGTTTCAGTTACAATTACAGAATATCAGAGATGCAGCTATATATGATATATATATATATATATAAATATGTATAGATGGATTCGTATTATTATTAAATGAGCTTACATAAGCCTATAATATATATTTTATAATAAAACACGCCGATTTGATATGACTTTTATAGCTAGGCTTTCTTATATAAGAGCTGAAAGTATGGCGAATGCGTGTTACGTTGATGAGGTTTTTGATTATTGATATTTTGTGGCGCCGTGTCCTTATGCCAATATATCAAAAAAAAAAAAAATGCAGCAAGGAATCTGTACCATAAATAGAAGCAGCTTATGAAAGGACAAAGATACGCAATGATTGAGGAGATAAAGATGGCAGCTATGAAGGAACTGAACTAAATGAGAAGATTGCTCGCAGTAATATCTGATGTAATCTAATGATTGCAATATGAAATCAGCTAAATTTTAATAAAATACAATTTATAGTAATTAAGTCTAAACTGGCTTACGAGCCCACTCACTAGCTCAGAGCTGACACCTGAATTAAAGCCATGCTATATGATGTAGAGCCGTACTCAACAGATGAAAAATAAATGAATTTGCATTTTTTATTCAAATATTATTATAAAAAATTACGTGAAATTAGTCGCAAATTGCTTGTAATACCTGACTCAAGGTGTTTACAGCTGCAGCATTTTTTATTCGCAAACAAAGTACATAAATACCTGCGGCTTTATTTTATAGGCTCTCAGACATTTTACTTTACGTGTTATAAATTTCACAAGCAAAAGGAATTTTTAACGCCAATGTCACGGCTTTGCTTTGAAGTTATTTTTGTAGAGAAATTTAAATTTACGAGCCAAATAACATTTGGAGATATTGAAAAAATCAACAGACGCAGCCTGAGCTCGTTGAAATATTATTTTAACAGCTTTTAGGAATCGACACTGACAATTAAACATTTTAATTCCTGGCATATTTATAGCACTCAGAGACTAATCTCTTGATTTATTGAGAGGCTGGATGAAAACTTTTACATGCTCGAACTCAAACATAACTGAAAACTAAAGCTAAGAGTAAAACCCCTTATGCTTATGTGTGGCAGAGGGTTAGATATAGAATGGACTAGGCGTGGCGGTTGGAGCTACTCGAACTGCTCCCAAAATTGTGCTGACCTCGTAGGCAGCCAACTGCAACTACAATTGCCCACTAAGCACTTTCCAAAGACTTTTTTGCATGTCGCCCTCGGAGCACCAAATTCGCTTTCGCCTTGCCACCAAATGTTGTAAGTTCTCGCTGTTGTTGTTGTTGCTGCAAACAAGTTAGACAGCAATTTGGTGTGCTCAAAACATAATTAAGTGCTACACAAGTTGTTAAATGCAGCAAGTACGTAAATTTGTCATAACAGAAGCCGTTGATGATGTACTAAGCGGCCATAAATTTTACTTTTATAAGAAAACTGCGAAACAGAACAAACGAAGCAAGAAAACTGAAAACGAGGCAAAAACACACAAAAAAAAAAAAACATTTTATGTAAAGAACAAACTAGAAATCAAGAGCAAGTGAAATGAAATGAAATGAAATGTTGAACCAACAAGCTCAACAAGTAGCCAAAAGCTGACTGATTGACTGACTGACGGATGGACTCGGCTGACTCGAGTCGACTAGCTGGGCCAACCGAGCCGTTGATGTGGCCAGTGGCCAAAGCGAAATGTCAGTGGAAGTTCGCAAGTCGAGCGCAAAAGTTGGAAATTAAATCAAACATAAAACTGAGCACAAGAAAATATTCGTTCGTGCCACGTTCTGGCGTCCTGGTGTCCTCATGTCCTGCTGGTGGTCGAAAATGAGAGAACGACATGCCGCAAGTGTTGCAAAACTTTCTTATATACTATTTGTTGATTTTACAAAACTGCGTTGGGGCACGCACCCAGCCAGAGATCGACAGGCGTGATGGATTAGCAAAGTTTCAGTTTAACGGCGAACAGCAGCCAGCAAAGGTCGCCGACAATGGCAGCAGTGGCCCAGTCCCAGCCCCAGATACCCTGCATGTTTTTAATTTTGCAAAAATCTATGAAACTTTATACGCGCAACTGATGCAGCCAGCAGCTGAGCAGCAGGAGGAGAAGCCCGAAGTGCAGTTGCGTCAGGGTCGTGGGCTGCGGCGAACACAAGCGCAGCTGTTATGGATGCCAGAGAGCCAGGCAACATCTACGACACCGAAGCCCTTTCACGTGCTGCAGCAACTGCAGCTGGAGCTGGATGAGCAGCTCAAGCACAGCACCACAGCGAAGCCATTTAGCGTGCTGGAGCAGTTGACGCTGGAGCAGCTGAAGCTCTTGCAACAGAAACGGCCAAATAGCAGTTTTAGCATATTGCAGCAGCTGCAACTGGAGCAGGAGAAGCAGCTGAACAAAACCAGCACAGTGCAGCCATTCAATGTGTTCGAGCAGCTGGACCAGGACCTGCAGGAGCATGAGAAGCACGAGCACACGGAGCCGGTCAGTTCCTTTGAGATCGTTCAGCTCTCCACGCCAGAGCCGCTGGAGCAGCACAAGAGCAGCGATAAGGCGCCAGTGGAGTCATCTCGCGCCGGGGATAGCCAAAAGCGGAAACGCAAACGAATTCGGCGTCGTCGCAAGCGAATTCGCCGTCGACGCAAGCGGAAGCGTCGTCGTGGCAAGAAGAAGCGCAAGAAGAAGCGCAACAAGAAGAAAAAGAAGAAGAATAAGAAGGAAAAGAAGAAGAAGAGGCGCAACAAGAAGAAACCCACTTACGAACATCAACCGCTGGGCCAGCCGGCGCATCTCGTCTATGCAAATCCCACCAAGCAGCCGTACCACTCCCATCACCACGATCCCTACCCACATGGGCAACAGCCACAGCCGGCAGTTGGGTCAACCACCATACTGCAAGTGGTCACCACCAAACGTCCGGCGACGACTAAAGCGCCCTTTAGCAAAATCAAATATCTGCTGCGCCACAATACCTTGTTCAAGAGGAAGAAGAAGGAGTGGTTCAGCCATGTGGGTCACGTTCTGTATCCGTTCATCAAATTCGTGGCATTCTTCACCGTTCTGAATCCTTTTACACTGGGCGTCTTTCTCTTCACCTTGATCTCACCTTTCGTCTTCGGCTTCTTGGGCTTTCTTCTACTGAGTGTCCTGGTGAAGCCGTTCCTGCACATCGTCTTTGGCATCAAGGCCAATGTGGAAAGCATCGATCGTAAGCGCTATCTGGCCAACAAGCGCGCTGAGCAGCTCAAGCTCAATCTGCGTCCAGTCACCATACATAAGCACTACTACCAGCAGAAGCCGCTACACTCGACACCGCCGCGTCACCATCCGCCGCTCGTGAATTGGCGACGTCAAGGCCCACAGCCCGAGCAGCGTCATCGGAATCCTCTACAATCTGCCGAGCGTCGCTACAATCCCTTGCTACCCTCGGTACGCGCAGCTCTGGCTCGCGATGATCTGCATTTTTAGTTCGTAAGCACGATTTGTAAATAAACTTTTATAACCTAGCAAATCCCCAATTTTCATATTTCTGGCCGATGTAAGCAGCTCAAGCTTCATCAGTCAAAATTACAGTTTCCGAAGGCGATGATTGTCGTGTCATCGAAGTTGGAAAAATGTTAGCAATCGTGCAACATCTTCTAGAAATGCTGCGCATCCACTACAATGCGCTGGGTGCCAGCTGCTTGATCTGCATGTCTCTGGTTGGGGTTCTGGACTACAGTCACGGTGTGCATGGCTGCGATCTGTACTGTTGGCAGCAGCAGCTGGATCGAGTGGAGGATAAGCCCATGGCGCTTATGCTTCTCATTGCAGGCTTTAAGCTGAGTCTGATTCTGGCTTTGACGCTCTTCAGCTACACACAAACTCGACCTGCGCTGGAGCAGTCGATTGGGTATGTGAAGCGACGCTATCGTCGCTTCATTGTGATGCGGCTGCTGGCTGCCCATCATCAGTTCGTGCACGGCGACGATCAGCTTCAGAGCCGGCACTCGGAGCTGATGCTCGCCATTCAGCTGTTTCGCTCCGATGCACGCAAGCTCTACGAGCGCACAGCGGAACATCTCCGACAGAGCGTACACCAGATGCTCCACGTGGAGGAGCAGCTGGAACAGGAGCTGTTGCAGAAGGGCTACGACAAATACACATGCGTTAATCAGTTACGGGACGTAGATATCTATCGGTTGGTATTGGCTCTGCCATTTTCAAAGCTGTAAGTCAATAAAGTGTGGTACTAACGGGATTCGAGACCGAAGGAGTGCGTGGGTGCGGCTGTTGGGGCAGGGCGTCGAGTGTGCTAACCACAACAACAACAAACAGGCAACAAAATTGTTTAGCTCGCCAATTTAGGCAACTTTTTAATTAGGTTTTGCTTGTTGCCAATACCCTGTAAAGTGTTGTGGTTAATGCGGTATATTGACGGGCTGAGTAATCTGTGCTAAACAATGGAGAATTTACTGCGCAAGAGCTAGCGAAGAGGCCTAAAAATACTAACAGAAGTACTAAATGCCGAAGTAGTGCTTACTTTTGCATTGAGCACACTTCGTAGCCTTTACCATTTAAGCTGTACATTGATCATCAATCTGTCAATCAATCATCAATCAGCGTGGTAATCCATAAAACACATACATTACCTAAATGTGAAGTCAGTTAGTGAGTTAATCAGTCAAAATTATATAGTCAGTCAGTCAGTCACCCAATCAATCAGTAACACAGTCAGAGAGTCAATCAATTTGCCAGTCTGAGTCTATGAGTCACTCAAAATTAGTCTAAGTTAATCTGCCAATCAGTTAGTCTAATATTCAGTCAAAGTCAATCAGTCAGTAAGGGGAAGGCAGTCGGAGAGTAAGTCAATCAGGCAGTCGAAGTCTGCTAGCCAGCTCCTATCAGTTTGACAGAATCTGTATGTAAGTCAGTCTGTCAGTCAATCAGAGTCTAACAATCTGGCAATCACAGAGTCAGACAATCTGTCAACTAGAGTCAGAATCAGTGAGTCAGAGTCAATCAGTCAGTCGGAGTCATTTAGTCACAGTCTATCAGTCAGTTAAAATTGTTCTGTAAGTCAGCCAATCAGTTAGAGTGTAATATTCAGTCAGAGTCAATCAGAGTGTCAGTCAATCTGCCAGCTAGAGTCAGAGCAAGTGAGTCAAACGGCCAAATCAATTCAAGTCAGTTACAGTGTCAACCAGTTCGTCAGTCAGTCTCAGCTCTATCAGTAAATCAAAGTATAATATTCAGTCAAAGTCAATCAAGCAATCAATCAGGGCAACCCTTCATACTACATATTCAAATTACATACAACTTCTTAGCCAACCAGCAGCACTTGTCAGCAATTATTACAGGGTATCTCATTGGAATGTCTTTGCTATTGAAGTTGTTGTGGTTGCTGCTCGCATGGCTCGTGTTAATTTTAACCATTTTTGGTTTCATGTAAATTTTAAAGCCTCGCACAGCAACCTCTAACAGCTGCCACATAATTTCGGCCAGCGCAGCCAACAAGTTTTTAGCCACGTCTAGAAGAGAAGAGGACGCGCCTCGGGTGCTGGCCAATTAAGTTGTTCGCTGAAAATCATTTCAATTTACGCCCGATCATTGTTGCTGCTTTTCCACTTCTGTTGCTGGGTGCGAGCCAATATCAATTGAGCCTTGCAATTTGCTGGCGGATTGTTGGCCATAATGGAATTGCCTTGGGAACTCGCTCGAAAACAAGTCGCATGCCATAGAAATACGAGAGCGAAAGAAATGCCGAGCTGAGCGAGTAATAATAAATAAAATTGTAGTCAATTCATAAGGATTTTGCCCACGTCGGGGCGTGGCAAGGAGGCAAAGAGGCAAAGAGGCGCAGAGCAAGGAGTCTGGCGACAGGCAAAATGCAAACAACATTCATTCATATTTGCCAAAGAGACGAGCAGCCAGCTTCACACCGACGCCCATTGCCACACCCACTGCAACAGCAAAAGGGCAGAAGGAGCTGGAGGAGCAGCGCTCACAATGTGCGTATAAATAACGGATTTCCTGTTATAAAATATTTGTAACGACATTTTATGTATATGCCGATTTATCCATACCATTGTGCAGCAGTCATAAGTGTATCATAAAACACCCACCCGGCCAGACTCTCTGCTCGCTGTGGTGTCACACTCCATCATCTGTATGTAGAGCAGAGTAGTGGGGTATATGTCTAGTCTATGGATACATATCGATGTCGATGTCGATGCCGATGCCGATGCCGATGCCGATGCTGTTGCAAACGTCTTTTGCATTTGCAGCTGTCAACGTAGCAACAAATTTCATTCGGTTTAATGTGTAAAACTCTGCGTAGAATCGGTTCACATTGATGCGCCATGCGAGCTGCACTGTCAATTTCATAAATCACACAGACATACAAGATTATACAATATATATATATATATATATATATGGAGTGTCTATAGAGTGTTAATCTCTAGCAACTGCAACCTGACACTCAAATTGTTGCACGATGCATAAATGCCTTAAATGCCATAAAAACTGAGCAAAGCTTAGCGTTGCACTCACTACACTGGCTCATAGCATCAAAGAGGGCATATTGGTTTTGTTTTTATACACAGGTCAGCTAAGTTAAACAGAGTATGTTGATTTTTAATAATCTCTCTCTCTCTAGTCTGCAGGTGTGTAAAGCCTAAAATATTTGGCTTGTGATTATTTTAAGCAATGGGCTTAGGACAAGCGGCCCAAACTATATGCTATGCACACACACATACACACTCACATATCCATACACACACAAACAGACAGACAGACACACAGACAGACAGACGGAGACATTGCATATCAAAGAACATAAAGGCGTTGAAGCACAGCAAATTCAATTCAACTACTGTTGCTTAGCCTTTGTTGCTGTTGTTGTTGTTTGATAAAAGGTCGAAAAGAGGCGTGGCTGAAGTGTAGTGAACTGAAGTGGCATGGGCCGACAGCAAAGCGGGGCCCAAAAACCCAAATAATATTAATATGCAAATTGAGTTTTTTAGTTGAGTGATCTAAGCGGATAACTGTGGCCCAACAAGACAAGGCAGACAGGACGGGAGCTTGGGGCTGAGGTATAGGGGACAGCAATGAGCCTTGAATGGACACGTAACCCCTAGAGATCGAGTCAGCTCAGCGCAGCTCAGCTCAGCAGCCCGTCCAAGCACTTTACTTTATTGATTGCCCCGCCAAAGGATGAGCCTGGACAGCAGCAGGAGCAGGAGCAGGAGCAGCTATAGCTGGAGTAGGAGCTCTGTCAATGGCAGCGAATAATGCGAGCATATCGCATATTTCGATTCGAAATGCGACTTGTGAATCAATTGAAATCATATTTTATTAAACGTTTACGGGGCCATTTCCCACAGCCGCCACGGGGCAAACAATGCCGGCAAATACATATACTTCAGCCTCGGGGGCCACTGAGGCACAAATCAATGTTTCTAGCTACGTGTGTGTACATATATATAACATAAATCGGATCAAAATCAAGCAGCGAGCAGCGAGCAGAGGGCAGAGGGAGCGGCTACTAGCCGCCAGGCGGGACACCATACAAAAATATTTACAAGAAGAAGTTTGCGCTGCATAAAATGTAAACCAGCTCGAGGCAGAGCATAAACACATAAAAAGAAGAAGAAGAACTTGTAGAATTGTCAGAGGGTAGGCAGGGTGCGTGGGGTCTCGTTCAAGTTATGAAATTTGCTTTTCTGCATGAAATAAATTTCCAAAGAAATTGAAAATGAAAAGCGCAGCGCGCAGATTGAAAGCAAACTCCGGCGACGAGGCTGAGGGACAAAGAGTCGTGCGAAATGTGTAGAAATGGCACGATTCAAATTTCACAGCCGGAACCCGGCGCAGCCAGCGGGGGGGAGGCGTGGCACAGTCTATACGAGTTGGCAAAAAAACAAGCGGCAAGAATTTGCCTCAGATGTCACGCAACTACTGTAAGTTGTCGCCGAGGCTTTAGCTATTGCCTGACATCGGAGCCGAGTTTTTCGACAACGATTGCAAAAGCTGTCGCAGTTCAAAGCAAACACCGCCAGCAATTGATTTATAATTACGAACCGGGTACGGAAGTGAGCCGCTGCCAAAGCCATTTTACGATTTGCTCAATTAGCTCTGACATGAAACTGAAACCCAGCAGCGTTTTAGCAAAGCCGCATGACAGTTGGCTCTCTCTCTCCCTCTCTCTGTAATCTAGCTCTCTTTCTTACTCTTTCTGCTCTACTCGCTGCTCAATTTCCGCTTGACATGCTGTTCGCTGGGCAATTTCTTTGCATTTCGTTCTGTTTTTTATGTTTTCTTTCAAGTTTGCCTTCCACCTGTGGCGCACAACGTTGCGTATGCGTAACTTGCCTTTGTCGCAGCATAATTTGCTGGTCTCCATCGCCTCACACCACTATCTCGCTTTCTTAATGCCACGCCCACAGAAAAAGCACAGAAAACAAAAAACTTTGGCGTGTGTTTTGCTAAACATATGCAAATTAGAATATTTGCATGTGGCAGGATAACAGAGCCGCCGGCTGCGTACCACAGATTCCACTCACTGGACGTGGCACACGTATGCGGCATAACAAATCGTATGCCCATAATGTGAATATGTATTTGTGTGTGTGAGTGTGTGTATGTGTGTGTGTGTGTGTGTGTGTGTGCATGAAAACATTTTCAGGCACTGTCTGTCTAGACAATATTTGAAGCCAATTTGTAGTTGCATTTAGATGGAGTCTAAGCCAAAAGACTTTAAATGTTTATATAACAATAATTTTGAATAATATTAAGGAAAAGCATAACGAATTTCATTAAATGTTATTAAAGTTAACACGTTAAACTGTTAGGAAATATATTTGAAATATTATTAAGGACGAAATTTTATTAGTGAATAAAATATATTTTGAAATAATTTTAAGCAAAAAATTTAGTTGTATGTAAATATATATATATATATATATATATAAATGAATATTACTTAAAATAATATGTTATCTTATTATTTTAGAGCATTTAAAAAAAGAAAAGAGAATCTATTAAAAAAAATATGCCTAAATATTTTATTTTTTAAAATTTAGAAAAATATGATTATATATTTTTTTAAGAAAGAATTTTATAAAAGCAAAAATAAAAATGAAGCAAAACTTTAATTGTATATAAAAAAATATAAAGCAATATTTCTAATGAAGGCTATAACTTTAGTTTTAAATTTTTTAATAAACAACATATACCAAATATTATTAAATATAATTAAAGCCAAGAAACTGACGCATCAATATGAGCCATAAAATATACAATAATATATATAGAACTATAGTAAAAGTTTTTTATGTTTATTTT